TGCTGGTCTGATGAGCCGAGAATGAGAGCAGGCCTGTAGGTCTGGGCAGCAGCAGCCGGGTCTACCACAGTGAACTTTCGCGAAGCTCCATGTGCACAAAAAGTTGGACTTTGTACCGTTTCTGGATATTTTTGTAGAGCATCTCCTGCTCCGGCCCACTTGAGATCAGATTAGGTTGTATGTGGCCCCCGGACCAAAATGAGTTTGACACCCCTGCTCTTGACAATGGTTGTCAAAGTCAAGGCTCGGGGGCCAGATCCATCGGGGCAAGAACATTTTTAGTGGCCCCTAAAATTATTTTTTATTATTATTAACTAGCAGCATTGATGGTAATGGGTGACCAAGGCAGGTTATACTTCATCTATTTTCTCAGGAAAACAACCAAATGTAACGTATTCTAACATTTTAAACCAATAGCACATAATTAGAAGTTAAATGTTTCACTATAAAATGTGTTTAACTTTATATCTGATCTAGTATTGATTTAATCTAAACAATACATACATTTTGTTTTCAGAAAAATAAACCAGAAAATAACAGTGAAACTCATGTCACATAAAAGTCATGTTAAAATATTTTCATATTGTAAAAAACTATGATAAGAAAAGGAAATCTCTTCTATTGTTTCGGTCCCCGACCAGTTCCTATTTTTTGCATCGGCCCCTGACCAAAACCCCTGCTCTAGATGCACAAGAAATAAAATTTAGATGCTAAATGATAACTTGTTTATTAGCCTGTATTATGAAGAGCGAATTAGAGAAAATAGCGCCTTTCATCATTTAACTGCATTATTTCCGGGATTAAAAGGGAAAACCTAATTAAATCAAGCTTAAGAAATAGTTTATGAAATGCCAAAGTAAATATTCACCACATTATGTGTAAGGGCTTAAATGAACACAAATGCAGCATATTTGTTAAATCAAAGAAAGCAAAATGAAGTTGGTGCCTGACCACCTCTGTTCCTTCACCTCTTATCCCTGACAGATGTGCGTTCCATACATTACGCGCTCGGCACATCTGCTCCAATCCCCGCTCCCACAAGGTGCTACACTGTTTGTGCCTTTCCCCAACACTTTATAATCTTCTTACATGAATTCCTTCTCCCCTCAGACATCCTGCTCCTCACAAAAAGCTCTTAGTACTTGCTTGGTTTAAAACGGTGGATGGTAATGCCTGCATATGCTCACAAAAGCCTTCTGAATGGTGCCAAATGAAGTGTGCGCGCTGCAGATCACTTGAAGGGCTCTTTAGGGGTTCCTATTAATCGCATTGACACAAATTGACATATTTTCAGCATCTCTTGTCAAATTTAGGGCTTTTGTGTGCTTTGATTAAAAATGGGGCCAGCGGAGCACATACGCACATCATTCCCTGCCGTGGAGAGAGACATTGAGGCCACGGTGTCATTTCTGATAAAGAGAATGGTTTATTTCACTTTTACTTACTTACGTTACATTCAGCTTAGCATGTAAACCGAATTATGGTTTACATGCTAATGCTTATTATATTCTCTATAGGCTCCAATTATACCACTACCAGCAACACAAACCCAAATACACCAATGGCTATTGAGGACACTCTTTCAATCCTGAATTTAACAATGTTTAAAGATGGTGTAAATATTAACTGAAATTATGTATTCAATTCAATTGTATCCGTGTGTGAGGTCTCACACGGAGAAAAAATTGGCCGACAATTTTAAAATCGTCTTGTGTGAACCAGGCTTAACTTCGCTGCACATTCCTTCAGGAGCCTTGGCGTTATCCCATCATTCGTACCATCAACAATAATGGGGAATGTCAACTCACTTCAAAATAAGTTAGAGGAACTTGAGGCTTTGGTGAAGTGTGATGCATCTTACCGGGACTTTAGCCTTGATCTGAATGACATGACATATGTTACATTATCGAATAGTGTTCACGTGTGTTTGTAAAGGAATTCTACTTCTGCTCCACCTCAGAGCGTCTGTTTCTATTCTAGTACTGTGTCTTTGTATTTATTCATTTGACTGGGACAGTATACTGTATGTATATGAACATATGGTTGAACATATATGTCGGCATGTCTGATTGTAGCAAAAGGCTCATTTTAATCTGTAATCCCAGAAGAACCGGGTCTGTTTTAAATAATGATTTTTTTGTGTGAATTTCTTTTCCAGAGGCGTCTGTCTTCCAGTGGCCCATCTCCATCACCTCCAGCTTCTGTGGATTACAATACAAACTAAAACGACCAGTATTTTAATTTGTTTATTAATACAAGTCATGGATAGTTAGAACACATCTTTCATTTTCTGAAGACATACAGTGCCTTGCAAAAGTATTCGGCCCTCTTGAACCTTTCAACATTTCAGGCTTCAAACATAAAGATATAAAAATTAATTTTTTTGTCAAGAATCAACAACAAGTGGGACACAATCGTGAAGTGGAACAAAATTTATTGGATAATTTAAACTTTTTTAACAAATAAAAAACTGAAAAGTGGGGCGTGCAATATTATTCGGCTCCCTTGCGCTATTACTTTGTAGCGCCACCTTTTGCTGCAATTACAGCTGCAAGTCGCTAGGGGTATGTCTCTATCAGTTTTGCACATCGAGAGACTGGAATTCTTGCCCATTCTTCCTTCCAAAACAGCTGGAGCTCAGTGAGGTTGGATGGAGAGCGTTTGTGAACAGCAGTCTTCAGCTCTTTCCACAGATTCTCGATTGGATTCAGGTCTGGACTTTGACTTGGCCATTCTAACACCTGGATACGTCTATTTGTGAACCATTCCATTGTAGATTTGGCTTTATGTTTTGGATCATTGTCCTGTTGGAAGATAAATCTCCGTCCCAGTCTCAGGTCTTTTGCAGACTCCAACAGGTTTTCTTCCAGAATGGTCCTGTATTTGGCTCCATCCATCTTCCCATCAATTTTAGCCATCTTCCCGGTCCCTGCTGAAGAAAAGCAGGCCCAAACCATGATGCTGCCACCACCATGTTTGACAGTGGGGATGGTGTGTTCAGGGTGATGAGCTGTGTTGCTTTTACGCCAAACATATCATTTTGCATTGTGGCCAAAAAGTTTGATTTTGGTTTCATCTGACCAGAGCACCTTCTTCCACATGTTTGGTGTGTCTCCCAGGCGGCTCGACATCAGTCGAGGCGTTAAGTCCTTTATTTTTGGAGATCAACGTAGTTACAGTTACTGCCCCTGAGCATTATGAAGAACACCTCCGTGCTATACTCATCCTTGGTTGTTAGACGTAGCAGACCCTGTCCCTGTGGGCCTCATTCTTATATTTGTGAGTATATTTGACACATTACTTTTACTCACTAGTTTAGTAACGCTAGTTAGTCTGTTGTTTGGACTAAAATAAATGCATTATTTTCTGTAGAATAAAAAAATATAAGGATAAGAAAATAAAACTAGCATTGGAGCTAACAACACTGCCAAAAAACCTTTAGAGGGACAAGAAACATCTTCTTATGAACACATTTATGGAATTAATATTTCTTACACATTCATTTACAACCAAAATGATAAAATATAGTTATATCCCTGAGTTTGAGCCACGTTATTTATGTTGTGTCCCTCTGCCATGTTTAGTTTTGGGGCAATGAAGTTGATCAACTCTGCTCAGGCTCGATTGTTAATGTCTGTGAGCAGTGACGTATTATTGACAGTTTGCTCACAGCTGAAATTCGTATTCTCAAAAAGAAGCACACAAAAAAAAAATCGCATTCACAAAAACCAAAATCATACATACAGTTTTATATTTTTGTATTCTTAATTACGAAATACCATGCCTTTTTAGTACTTTTTTATTATCTTAATCATGAATTAATAAAATATTTTTATGCACAAATACCAATAAATATGCACGCATTTTTTTTTTTTAGACATGCACGTCTTTATTGACAGTAACCTTACCCCATAGTTCTGGCCCCTGCTACATCTATGGAGGATTGGCTGATCGATTGCTTCTGTCTTGATTTACCCGAAAATAAAGCATGACATTTCAACCAGCAAAAAAAAATTCTACGAATTTTTGGACACTGAATTTTTTTCAACATTGAATTTTTGGACACTGAATTTTAATACATTGCATATTTTGACACTGAATTCTAAAACATTGAAATTTTTAAATTGAATTTTAAAACATTTAGTTTTTGGACACTGAATTTTAAAACATTGAATGTATATATACTGAATACTTTTTTTAAATAGTTTATATTAAAAAAAGGGTTTACTTTTGAATACGCTGGAAAACAGCTGCAGGTAGCTCTGAAACAGCTGTTGTTTTGTGCTTTACAATTTTTATATGTATTGCTTTTTTCTGCCTGAAATGTTGCTGCAGGACAGTGTTCATAGTTTTGCACTGGTCCAGACTGGAGCAGAGAGGATTCATGGTCCGAACCAAATGGATCAGAGGAAAATCTATTGGAGGAATGCTAGCTTTTTGAAAAATGAAAATTAAGCATTCAGCATTTTATTTTGGACTAAAGCAGAGAAAATGGTCCGAAACAAGCGGCTACTCCACCTTGTGACCTGTCCTGCTCCACCCAGAGGCTACTCCACCTCTGCTGCTGTGACCTGAAGGGCTGTTGCTGACGTTTTTGAATGATCAATTTTATTATTATTACTATCTATCTATCTATCTATCTATTTACAACAGGTGTGAATGTAAAGAGTGATTGATTGGAGGGTGTTGTTGGGGGCTCTGATGCGCCAAAACACTGGCATTTCTCATCGTCATCAGTGACTGTGAAAGAAAAAAATATCTGATTTTTTAACATTGTATAGCACTTTGGGTGACCTTGGTCTGTAAACTGCGCTATATAAATAAACATAACTTATTTACTTATTTACTTCCTTACTTCTTCTACAGGCGTGCAGTGCCTGTGGACGCATCTTCCTCTTCATCATGTACGCGCACATGTCTGCGGTCAAACCTTTGGAGTCCTTCTATTTCTGACGCTGTCGTTGGACTAAAGAGTTTGTAAAGTCTCACATCATCTCGTGATGACGGAGTCACCGCTGACGTGCGCCCGAGCGCACAAACAGAGCCAGGGCTGTGACGCGCGTCACGGGCATACATGTATAAAAGCGCGCGCTCCATGGAGCCCCACACACTGGACACGGACTGAGCAAAACACCTTCGCCAAATGTAAGTATGTGATGCATGGGACAGCCTTGCGTCTGTGTGGCTCTCGTGTGCCATTCCATGTGACTTGTGCTATACGTGTCCTGCATCTTCCTCGTGCCATTTGTACTTGAGTACTTTCTCCTAGAATGTAACTTAAGTGCGCTCTCTGCAGTCTTCTGCTGGACAATGCTGTGCACTTACGTGCACTCACTCTTTTGAATCACGTCTTAAGAGCTTAACGTGTATGATAATATGATAATTTTAAACAAACAAAAAGTGTGTTATAAATGTTGTTTCAAATTAGAAACAACATTTTCAATCAAATTAATTGTTTGCTTGGATAGTTGTGGATCCTGTTGACCTCTTCCCTGACGACAGATGCATGCAAACATGCTGAGCTGCCTGGGCTCTCTGGGGCTACTGCTGTGGGCTCTGTTGTGCCTCAGCGCCCTGGCAGAGGGATACCCCATCAAACCGGAGAACCCTGGAGACGATGCACCGGCAGAGGAACTGGCCAAGTATTACTCGGCTCTGAGACACTATATCAACCTGATCACCAGACAGAGGTAAGGCACAGGAACCTCCGCGACCACCACTGTAGTTTTGTATAGAAGGATGTAAAAAGTAATCCACACAGTTTTGTTAAGTTCTCCAAGATAGATACTTTATTGATCCCCGGAGGATCCAAAGGGTATCAGTCTGAACAGAGATGCCCAGACTTCCCTTCCACACATACTTCCTTCAACTCATCCAGGAGAATCCTCGAGGCATTCCCAGACCAGCTGAGAGACAGTCCTTCCAACATGTCCTGGATTTTCCCCTTTACCTGGGAGGAGCCACCTCAACTGGCTCCTCTCAATGTGGAAAAGCAGCGCTCTACTCCGAGCTCCTCTTGTGTGACTGTGCTCCTCACCCTGTCTCTTTGTAAGCGCCAAGCTTACTTACGGTCATTTTGATTGCTTGTATCTGCAATCTCATCCTTCAGGTCATTCCCCAAAGCTAATGACCAGAGGTGAGAGACATTGATTGACCAGCATATGAAAAAGGTTTGCCTTTTGGGCAAAATTCTGTAGTATAAAAAGTCCGTTACAGTGACCGTATCACTGCAAATACTGCATAAATTGAAGATAAATTGAGACCGCAGAGGAAATACTGTGGTCACCAAACCTGTCTCCCCTTGGCTGAACCTAGTAATTCTGTTCACAAAGACAATGAACAAAACTGATGACAAAGGGCAGCCTTAGCAGGAACAGGTTTGGTTTACTGCCTGCGATGAAAACAGAGCTCTGACTCTGAGAACCCCATACTCCTAGTGAACCCCCCTGATGACACCCCAGGGAACACAGTCGAACACCTTCTCCAGATCCAAAAACCACATGTTGGGCGAACTCCCATGATGCTTCCCTTTCTTGTAGTGAGGGACCATCATCCCAGTCTGCCACTCCACTGGCACTGTCTCTGTGTCTTTAGACTTTAGATAGTCAGGACGGATCTCATCCACTCCCGGAGCCTGCCAACAACCCCAGTGACTTGAGCCAGGAGCGGAAATTAACGTTTTCAACATTTTTAAACAATGTATTTGTAAAATGGAAGGATATTTGTATAAAAATTTGTGTTTCAAGCATTTTAAGCCTGAAGTTATGCCACCCTCTTTAATTTTTAAAGTTGCTCCATATGAGAAAACTTGTTAACTAATAACAAATGTGACCTTTTAAAGAATTTTTAAATCCACTATGTTAATGTAATTGTTTTCATAGGCTTAAAATTCAACTTATTGATGTCCACGAGAGCAGAGAACTCTCCGTGTCAACGCGCCATCTTGAAATACAGTGGTGGATAAGAGACAAACAAGATGCGAGAATCGGGGCTGATACTGATATCGTTGCTTTCACTGTACCCTTAAAGTTTTAAAGAAGGGATCATCGAGGACCTTATGTAAAAGAACAACCCGAGCCACAATCTTAAAAAATAATTATGATAAAGTCTGACGTCATACAGCAAACTGTCAACATCGCAAACCACACGCATCAAAAGGCAGAGTTAAAAAAACGGGAGGTACAACAGACTCACACATGAACAATACATCACTTTTTTCTCACTGACAATAATGAGAACGAGGCAGATTCTGAAACACAGTCTCAGGATGTTTTGAATCGCTCCGAGTGCAGTCCAACTACTTTGTCACAAGTTTCAACTAAACTTATTCAGGGGACAAGCCTCAAATTGCAAAACGCACAGATTATTTTTCAGGAAGCAAAATATCCGCGCACGTGTTTGGAGAGATTTGGTCATTTATCAAGATTCTTTTCTTAGTGTCCGGTGAATAACCGGGTGTACCTTTAAGACTCTAAATTTCTGAATATGTCTTGAACTTTAAACAACAACAGCAACAATGTCAGTAAATGGATTCTGATTCTTCTGATTCAACGGGGGGAGTATTTGTGCTGAGGAACACTGTTGGAGCATGGTTAGAAGCTGGCTCCTTACCAGCCTTTGTGCTGTGTTGGTGCAGGTATGGGAAACGCTCCTCTCCAGAGCTCTTGGATACGCTGATCTCAGAGCTGTTGCTGAGAGAGAGCACAGACACACTGCCACAGTCCAGGTATGTACAACCCACACCCGCAGTCACAACCTTCTTTTGTCTTATCTACTTTGTGTTTTGATGTGTTTTTATTAATTAAATTGGAATGTAAGGACTTTGTATGTTCAGGCTAAATTACCAATAACATATACTGTATTGTAGAGCGACACATGATATTGAACAAAGAACACTGAAAAAAACACGAAATGCTCTGGCCACTCATAATTCAGGGGTGCTTAACATCTTTGGAGGAGGGGGTGAGGGGTTGTTCAAAATATACAAGTACAAAACACAATTATTACAACCATTATCCAACATCTGCTGTATAGTTTAAAACATGTCACATGTGTGTGTGACACCAGCTATTTTGATTTTGATGTGGACCTTATAGCAGACATTTAACACGTGTATGTGCACAAACACATCGTGAACACATTGCCTAATACATGCTCACACTGTGTATACACGCACACACACACACACTTACGCCCAACACAGAGCGCACAATATATTTATGGTATTAGGAACACAGTGTTGTTCAGATAAAGAACGAGGTCCAGGTCACCCCAGTATTCATAAAAGATATCATTCACGTCAAAACGTATTTCAAAAAAAAAAAAAGAGGGATTTTGAAATACGTTTCGAAGTGAACCAGGGAGACAAACCAGGACTAAAGCAGGTCAAAAGCATAACAAAAACAGGATTTAGGCAAGACTAAATCAGGACAGGCCTGATCTAGACTTTACATTCTCTAAAATTGATGTCGAAGACTTGTGGGAAAACAGGAGGGTTCTTTGTTTCTGAGCTGAACTCTTGCTGTAATTTCCTTGGGAGAGAAGCAACAGTGCCAAACTTGCTCCATTTGTTTTTTTAACTGAGGATTTATGAACATCTCGACGATTAGAGATGGTTCTATAAACTTTTCCAGCTTTATCCAAATCATAAATTCTTGATTGCAAGTTTTCTGAAAGCTTTGTAAATGAGGCATGTGCAAAGCAGGCAATGCTTCTTATCAGGACAAACTTCTTATCAAGAGTGTGTTTCATAGTTAAGACTGGCCTGCCCACTATGTGATAGGACACACACACCCCTCAGTGATAGGACACTCAGAGTCTCCTTAAGCCCAAGGTTTAGTTCCCCAGAAGGCTATTGCCAAAGGCTCTCCCTCCATACTTGACCATGTTTCCAAACACTGTAGCTTGTATTTTCGACCCTTCTTCCATGTAGATCTCCTCTACAAATGTGATGTTTTGTGGCTGTTGCTGGGCATCACATAGTTTCAACTCCCTTTACAGGTTTTCTATTGAGTTGAAGTCTTCAGGCGATGCCATTCCAGGACCTTTAAATGCTTCTCACACAGCCACTCATTTGTTGTGTTTTGGATAGTTGTCATGCTGGAGAACCCAGCCATATTTCATTTTCATTGCTGTCAAAAACCTCAAGATGTATACGGCTGTGATAATTTGACATCCCCAAAATATCACAGCTCCCAAGATGTCCATGGAAGAATCAGTCAAAATACCAGCTACAGTGTGGGGGAACCTGGTGAAAAGCTACGGGATCCCTGTCGAAGATTTCATTACAAAATGATTTAAGAACTTTTTGATGCGAAAGAAAAATATGATCTGTATTCTGTTAGTTTGTAAGTTGGTCTTGTTTGTCTGTGCACACTTCTATAACGATTTATAGTTAAGGTCCCTGCTCAATGTGTATTTTGTTGGTTCTGATCAAGAAGACATGTTCCTGTCTGTGTGCAGATATGACCCGTCGCTATGGTGATCCGCCATCGCCATCCCCGCCCACACAGATATTAGCCCCGCCTCTCGTCTGAGCCTGTGTAAGAGTCCATGTCTGTCCCAGTCTACGCTCACGGGACGTGCCACAAGCCACGCCTCCCGGCACATAGGGGCGTGGCCTCTCTGCGTCCTCAACAATATTAAAGCGTCTGTTTGAATACGCACTGCTCCTGTGTCCTTGACTCACACACTCTTTACCTCTTCTCATGCAGCATCAGCGACTATATAACGAACCTAATAGCGTTCATGTTGTCCTTTAAACATGACAATATGGACTTGGTTTTAGTAATGTTTATTTATATAGCACATTTTTTACAGACCAAGGTCACCCAAAGCGCTTTACAATGTTCAGAGTTCAGATATTTTTTAATTCTCTCCACACCCGAGAATGGCAGAAGCCAGACGCCAAACACACTGGCGAATTAAAGCTCCCATCCGACACTATCCATTCACACTCTCGTTACATTCATACCTATTCTGCATGATTTTAATAGTAGAGTAAATGCAGACACGGGGAGAACATGCAAACTCCACTCAGAAAGCCCCAGTTCTGACTGAGATTTAAACCCAGAACTTTCTTAATGAGAAGCACGAGTGCTATCCACTTGCTAGCCACCTTGTATTTCATTCAGTTTCAGTTGAACATGTATTGATAACAAAATTATGATGATAACATTATTTAGTGGTCTTGATAACTTTCAATTATTGTTGATAATTGTGATACAAGTGTGCATTTCTAACACTTGTGTTCGGATAAAGAGAGTTTGTCTTTTCTTGGTTTTAATTGTCACCACTCATCCTGGCCTTATCACACTTTCAATTTTTGTGTGCAATTTTTCCCCAAGTATTCTCCCGAGTCATATGCCATTACTACAGCATTATTATTACAAATGATGATTACCATTTGTTTTTTTACATTTATCCAAAAAGGCAATGAGTAAACATTATAAATAGTATCAACAATATAATTTCAATTGATTAACAATTATAATTTCTCACAGTCTATGAAAAACTATCCTTCTTTAAATTTGGCATCATTTTGATTTAAGTCAAGCAGAATGATTCCTTCTCAGAACAATCAGATACATTTTAAATAGTGCCTTTGGTCAATACAACCACCACCAACAATAAGAAAAAAGATAGTGACATTTCTTTCAAACCCAATTCTGCAAAATGTTGTCATCAAATCACAGTTGAAAGTGATTGTTATGGATAAGCTGAAGGTACTAAAATCCTAAAATATATGTGTAATAAAGTCTATCAGATAAAATATGTAAGCCTTTCATCTAAAAAGTAAAGAAAATAGTAATTGTGTCTTGGCACATTCAGTGTATTGGCACTGAACACTGCGCTCAGGGATCATAATGATGGGACGGCGCTCTCTTGTGGACAAGAGCAGTTATAACTATCTCCAATACTCCTGCGATTCATCAAACTTGTGCTAAAAGTAGAACCACACTCTGAACCTCAATTATTTGACTTGCCTCAAATGTTCTAGTTATTACAAAAGGCGAAACATAAACAATCTTAGAACTGTAGGAAAACCTTTTTGTGGTCTTAACTAGTTAACATAGTTGAATAAAATTGCCATCTAAAGATTAACTGATGAATGAATTTTGAGCCATAGCAGACAAGAACACAACAGAATAGAAAAAAAACAAAACAAATGAACAATACAATACATCTACAGTATGTTTTGTTCTATTAACAAAAAGTCAGCTCGAAAAGGAGTGGGAAGAAGTTAAGACTTTTAAACTCCCACCCCCTATTTATTATTCTAGTTTAATTAACTTGTATTATGTGGTTGCTAAAGCTTAAAGCTACGGATAATGGTTGGTTCCTCCTCGTAATATCTTTATATTTATTTCTTTGAACTCAACACTACATTGCACAGAAGAGAAGAAATAAAGAATACAAGATGTTTTAATTTTTACCAATGTTTCAATAACATTATAGAGAAAAACCTGCGAAAGAACAGTTACAGGACTAATTATCTTTTTGAATTGAAGTGAAAATATCTTCTTCCCTATGAACTTCAACAATGGAACAAAACATTTGCATTTCTCAGAACAATTAGTTAAAACTGCCAAAGTCCTGTCACCAGTGGACAAGACAGTCAAATGGATTTGTCATGTTTACATTGTGACACTGTCAGGATTTAGCAGACAGAGACGGATCGTGGTGTGCCAAACTCTGGAAGTTTATTTAAGTTTCTCTCAAGTTCCACTGGTTTACTCTGTTTCTTTCTCCCAGACAGAATAAAGGCAGTACACAGTTTATATAGTCATTGTCACGTCACACATCGAAAGACATACGTGTCACAAAGAGACAGTCACATCATAGTCATAACATGGAGTCCTTGTAGAGTCCTTGTACAGTCCTGCACGTAGGCCATATTGCTATCTAATACTAACACCCTCCCCTTTGATCACATAATCACATGTGATCACTCAAATCGATCAATCAATAAAGTGGAAAAAGAAAAAAAAAAAAAATTCCCAAAAAAACTTTAAAAAATTATTAAAAACAAAGAAAATGTATGCATTAAACTCATAATCATCAAATCAATATCAGTGGATTTTATCCTCTATCCTGGGAAAAAATAAACAAACAAATCAAAAATAAAAACAAACAAACACTATTGGACACACAAGAACTCAGCAGATTCAGTCAAAACACAGACAAAAACGAGCTGAGTCTCAAATTAGAAGCTAATTTCACTTTTATTACTCTATACTTTTATTCTAATGATAATTGTTTACACTACACTCCACTGTATTATTTTCACTATTTAATCTTAGACTGTGTACTTTACTTTTACTATCACTATAGTTTAAAACTATTCTAATCTATTTACAAATATGTTTGTATATTTGCTTCTATTGAGCCATATTCTTAAACATACATTTTAATCTCTCTGTGGTTTACTTTCATTATCAGTGGCTTATTATCAGTGGGATTTTGCTCTATGTCTATTCTCATTCTCAGGAATAAAACTGTCAGTTTTCCAAATACATTTGTTGAACCAGGAAGTGCTGTCACTTCCTCCTATCAGGCAATTTGGGATGAATGTACATCATTAATCAAATTGGTATTATCCTTACAAGAGCTAATCTATTTGAGCAGGTTTGGGGTTGGGGTCAGTTATTCTACAATGGTGTTTGTGCTGGAAACTTCTCAATATCTAAATATCTACTATTTTGTTTTTGTGCTATACACCAATACATCAAAATGCTTTTGAATCTCTGTTGGTGCTAATCTATCTCATTGATCTAGGCTTTAATCTAGGCTACACTCATTGAACTTTTTGTATTGTCAACATTCACAGATGTTTGAACACAAGTGAATTTGGCAAGTATCTAATAAAACTGTACATACACTGTAATTAACTTGATTTACTTCTGAAGTAAATGCTTGTGAAATGGTCCCTTTACCATTTGATATTAGCACTGGCTACAAATAATCTCTATTTTTGAAAGCATCTATGGTTGATGCATTTATCTACTCCTATTTTTACTCTATTTTTTAACTCCAAAGCTCGGCTGCAGCTTGAGCAAAGGCATATTCCTAGTTTGTGACTTCTGTCACTTTCAATGGCTGTAACATTATTCAGATTCTAATATTTTAGCTGATCTATCAAAAGGATAACATTGTAGGGTACTATTTTAACTCTTACGTGGAAATGTGTTTATGAACAACAAAGAAAGTCAAATTCTACTCTTTTACTACTATTTAACATCTACTAAAACGCTACAATACTCATACTTTATCATTTTAAAACATTTTAACAGTTGCTCAGTCTCCCAGACAAAAAAGTCAAAGTTTTTGTCTGTCAGATGTCTGAATACTTAACATGTATATTGCATTTGGTCACAGGTTCTGGTTGTAGCAATAGCATCGGCAATAGACGTTTTCATTGGCTGGTTCTTGTTCTGCAAATGGCTGTGTCCAATAGATCATCAGATGTCCAGAAGCTAGGGACAAACAAAAACAAAAGAAAGAATCATGAGTATCTCATGAGTATCTCATGAGTATCTCATTTAGCACTCATCAATGTATGATTTCAAAAATATAAACATCACTCCCCAGTTTTCTCTCTCAGGTCCTCAGGTCCTCAGGGTCCCCTGAGGGTGAGTCTCAGTCGTCATCAGGTCAGGTCATAGAGAGATGTCATCTTGGTCATCAGTAGGGTCCAAGCCATGGTTTTGGTCTCTCCAGATGCACATCAGGATCTCCAGATACAGTCTTTTCAGTTGAAGCACATCAGGTCATTTGCGATGCACTTCTGGTCAATGGTGCAGTGTCACAGTTCCTGTACACAGCTTGTTATGCAATGGTTACTCTCTATGGTTAAGTCACTTTGATTCTACTTTAACACAATTTCTATTCATGCTGTTGCTAATGTCCCTCAGACAAAAAGCAAGCGCAATGATTCAGTTTACTTCTCTAATTTGTGTTTTTATCAGATCTAATTCTAATCAATGTAATTACTTCACACAGTACAAAATCAACAAATCAAAAGTGTCAGGACAGAGGTCAATTAGTCCATGACAATATAGAATTCAAATGAACATTTCTGGTCTCAAAAAATACTGATTCAACTAAAGATTCAAGTGATAGACAATTAAAAATATGTGTTTACATTGGAGTAAACTTTTAAAATGCTTTTTTCTCATGTTCTGCTTTTTCATGTATCTATATGTAAATGTGAATGTGTGAGTGTATGTGTGTGTGTGTGTGTATGTGAATTTTGGGGTTGTGTCTCCAGACTCCTCGAACCACCTGTAGGTGTCAAAGGTCACACTGTGGTGATGCAAACCAACTGGACACACTTTCAACTGCCTCTAGGTCTCTTCCTGACGCTCCACCCATCACTGCCTCCAGAAACCTCCACTTTCATGGCCCCGGTCTCACTCCCACTTACTTCTGTAGTGGGGGGAGGGGCGTAGAGGTGGCATTGTTGCCCTTTTGCTCTTAGCTCTG